TCAGTGAGCAGTCCCTCAGAGAGAGAGCCTTCAGTGAGCAGAGTCCCTCAGAGAGAGAGCCTTCAGTGAGCATCCCGCAGAGGACCTTCAGGAGGAACACAGCTCTGCTGACACAGCAGCTTCAGACTTGCAGTCTCCAGAGGTGTGAGAGAGCACATTGTTGGTCTAAGTGACTCACTCTGGTAACTTATTAAGCAAGCCCTGAGGAGGTAGTGCAGTGAGTTTGCAGTTAAACCAATACTGCAATAATCTGAGTATTGTTTTGCTCTTCTTTCCAACATTAAATATCTCTCGTTTTCCATGTTTAAAATCTGAAATACAGCCACACTACAGATTCAGGTGTCATCTTAACATGTCCAGCCCCCTCTGTCTCTCTCACCAAGTGTTGGCAGTTCTACTATGAAGCACCTCAGCTTGTTCACTTACTGCTCCTCCAGGCTCCTGTCATTCTTACCTGAGTTATTAAAATGGCTCCCAACAGTAATCTTTAGAAATACACCTGATCAATCCCATGACTTACCTGCTCTGAATCCATGAGTATTCTTCTCTGATTTCATTAGATTCCCACATCTACAGCATGGTTTATAAGACCCCGCCTGCTTACAGTGTGATGCATGCCATGCTTTCCTGCAGAATGCACCTAATCTTACTAAAATGTCCTTAATGTGCTTTTCCCCAGGAACTGCTGTACAAGGTGGGCCCTCTGGGTAAAAGTCTCTCCATGTATTCTGCTTTGCTTTGAGAATGTAGCAGAAAGAGGAGCGCAGACAATCCGCAGTGTGGGGAGCAGTGTTACCCTGCTTACCATCCTTCTCACCTTGGGCAAGTTACTTCTCTTAAGTTTGGGGGGCTCCTGTTTATAAATTGGAATCTAATCACTCATTGAACAGCTGAGTCTTATCTGGGTTAACATTAAAGAAACTATAACAGAAGCCGGGTGGTGGTGGTGGTGGTGGTGGTGGTGGTGGTGGTGGTGGTGGTGCATGCCTTTAATCCCAGCACTCGGAGGCAGAGCCAGGTAGATCATTGTGAGTTCAAGGCCAGCCTGGGCTACCAAGCGAGTTCCAGGAAAGGCGCAAAGCTACACAGAGAAACCCTGTCTCGAAAAAAAAATAGAAAGAAAAAAAAAAGAAACTGTAACAGGAATAAACAAAGAGTGTGGCAGTTCCTGGCACAGAATAAACATCCATCTGGTGGGAAAGATTGGAGTGATGTGAGATCCAGTCACCAAGCCTTACAACTCCTCCCTTTCTAATGTGATTTACATTCTTCATTATTTCATGAAATTGCACAAATTTCTCCTGAAAATATTTCCCTTTATTTTTATAGCAAAAACATACTTGTGGTGGTTTGAATGAAAGCTCCCCACAGGCTCATATATTTAAATACTTGAAGGGTTGGGAGGTGTGGCCTAATTGGAGGGGGTGTGTCCCTGTGGGTGGGCTCTGAGCTTTCAAAAGCTCACACAGTTCCCAGTTAATTCTCTCTACCTCGTGTTTGTGAACAGAAATGTGAGCCCTTAGCTCCTGCTCTAACACCATGCCTGCTGTTGTGATGCCCCTGCCATGATGGGCATAACTCGCTGAAACTAAGTCACATAAGTGCTTTTCTATAAGTAGCCTTGGTCTCAGTGTCTTATCACAGCAATCAGTAGTAACTAAGACAGAACCTGGAATCTGGGAGTAGGCTATTAGAGAGACAGGTCTGATCATGATGCTTTTGGAAGGGATAAGGAAGATGTGGGGACTTTGGATTGGGAAAGCCATTGAATGCTATAAATGAGACTTAATCCTAGTAGGAGCAGAGAGCAGTGTGGACCTCTGGAGGCCCAGCTCAAGGTTTCAGAGGGGAACAATATTAGAAACTGGGCTAGAGACCATTCTTGTGATATTTTAGCAAAAATGTGGCTGCTTCCTGTCCTTGTCCCCAAAATTTGCCTGAGGTTAAGCTGAAAAATAATAGATTGATTTTCTAGGTCCAGGACATTTCAAGACAACCAAATGTTAACTCTGTAGTATGATTATTTGTTATCACTCTTATGCAGGTCTACATAAAAAGAGAGTGAGCAGGGCAAAAGGAAATACAAAATGTACAGTTAGAAGAGTAATAGAGCAGCATCAGATTTAACTTTAGAGCCAGAGCAGATGCTGAGAGAGAACGGAGATGCCTGAAATGAAATAACAAGGCAACACCAGGTTATCCTGCAATTTGTGGAAGAAGGGGTTGCCTCCTAAAAAGCAGCTACCAAGGGAAACATGCAAATATAATTCAGGGAGAAACCAAGTTCCATCCCAAGCAAGCACACAAACTTGGCATCAGGCCACATGCTTTT